CTACTGCTTGCGCATCAATTCTTCTTTGCTCTTCCATCTCCTCCATTCTAACCTTAGTTTCTCGAATATCTCTCCTACTCTATTTCTCCCATTTTCGCTTATGCTCGTACTCTTGTCTGTGTTTATATCCATCCCTCGGTCTTCTATTCTCCTTGCTTCATTTTCTTCCTCATCGTCCTCACCTTCTTTACCATTCAGCTCCTGTGCGTCTTTTACCTCTTGTTCCTTCCGTATTTTCTCACCTTTATCTTTCTCCGAATTCTCTTCTCGCTTTTCTTCATCATCCTTCTCCTTCCCCAACTCATCTTGTTTGTTTTTCATTGCTACCTCGTCATCGTCGTCCTCTATTTCCTCTATCTGCTCAATTATTTCACTGTGATTTTTCCCTACGTTACCGTATAACCTTTCATCTGGCTTTCTTGGTGGTGTATGCACTAATTTGACACTTTTTGCGAACCCTAGTTCCTTGTTACCTTTCTCCTTTTGCATGAACTTTCTTATATCTTTTTCCCCACTGTTTTCCTTCTTCTCGTTTCCTACTTTCTTTGGTCTGCCCCAACTCTTCTTTATCCACTCTTGCTCTCCGCTCTTCGTCTCTTCCTTCCTGCTCACTGCCGCCATAACCACACTTTTACCGATCTTCGTACTTTCACTCATTTTCTTCTTACTTGCCCCTATCTTTCACTTCTTTAATACTCCTTCGCAACCTACCCTTACACTCGTCCTGCTAGTCCACTTTTCGATTGTTTATTCTCTCCTTTATCCTAATATCACCACCTAAATTGCTATCTTACACCGTACTGTAACGGTCCAGTCTGATTTGTCTCCTATTTTCCTCTGCAAAACGGCAACCCGTCACACACGAGACTATTAGAGAAAAGCGGTAATTGAGCGCAGGCGCTTTTCACACGCATATGCAAATGTGTTAGGGCTACTCTGCGAAAACATTACCATATAAGGAACGTGATGTCACGACCGTGGGAAAATTTATTGTTTACAACAGAAAATCGTCAATTATAAAGTTTTTTAAACGAACAAAAGTATCTCTTAGTTAAATTTGTTGCGCTGATCCTGAATTTCATGTTGATATAACTCTCAAATCGATATTTGTTAGTCAAATCTAATCTACAAGTTAACATTGTTAGTTATTTTGCAATAAACAACAATATTGTTATTTCGAGTGTACGATTACAATCTCGACGTATTGAAACAGAAAAGCAAGAATTTGACACTTTGATAACTAATTATTCCCTAAGTTATCAATAAATAAACAATTTATAATTTTTTTAAACAATTAAAATAACACTGTTAGATAGCAAATCGATCACACGTATCTGCAAAATTGATGATTATGATTGCCACTAATTTGCTGATTTTTAAACCGCTAAAAAAGAAAGTTGCAAATCTGTTTTTTTAATTATTATTCAAAATTAGAAAGCAACATTAATCATCTTTTATATGGATAACAATCTTCTAACCACAAGCGATTTTTCCATGTAAAAATTTTTCATAATTTTATTGTAAAAATGGCGTAATTTGATTATTAAATTGTATAGCTTATAACTTTAAGAGGCGATTTTTCCTCGAGATGCAATTTATGTTAAAAAATTCATCTTTTCCAGTTTAATTTTTAAATCGCATAATTGTATTTTCGATCGAGCCATTTTGCGATAAAACGTGTACAAAATTTGCGTCAATGACAAAAATAGCGTTGTAGGGGCTACCAAGCGTAGAAAGGAGCCCATTTCCCATGTATAAATTCGCTCGTCGCTGCGGCAAGAGGACGCATTTTCCTACCTTGCTTAGCAGCGCGAGCACTGTGTAGAAATAAAGCCTCAGCTATTTCCTGAGACGAATTTCTTTTTCAGTGGTTAGCCTGTTGAACTCCTTTCTTACTGATCTCTAAGAGCTCAACTCGAGAGAGAGAGAGAGAGAGAGAGAGAGAGAGAGAGAGAGAGAGAGAGAGAGAGAGAGAGAGAGAGAGAGAGAGAGAGAGAGAGAGAGAGAGAGAGAGAGAGAGAGAGAGGAGAGAGAGAGAGAGAGAGAGAGAGAGAGAGAGGGGTAAAAACAGCAGAAAATGATAATAGCTCAAGAGAGAGAGATGCAGCAGACAACGATAAAACGAGAGGCAGAATATAATTAATCAAGAAAGAAGAGTGAAAACTATTGACTTACCTGAATTTTGAAGTTAAATACTGAGTCTATTCTTATGTTTGTTGCTGTTAGGGAAGCGGAAAAGCTAGTGTCCGGACCTTTTTGAATTTTTGCAGTATTGGTATAAATCGTACACTTTCCACGATTTTCTCATGATGACTCCTTTGTTGAGGAAAGTTTAGTGAAACACTTTCCACAACACTTTACACTGACTTTTCATTAAATTTTTCTCTACACTTATCACTTTCAAAAGCTTTACTTACCGATCGTAAAAGAACTCTCGGATAGAACGAACTGTCGTTCGAGAAAGCGATGTAATACGATCATCTGACATGAGCGGACACGTCGACAATCACCAAAACAATAGAAATATTAACCGTGTGGCGGGGAATTTCGGAGGGTCTTAGCCGCGTTCTCGAATCTCTTCCGTCACAAGGTCTGTTTGGCTCATTATCCCCGATTATTTAGGGCGCCAGACCGCCGTGTGATTAGGGCGATCGTCAGGGATAGGCCCTAGTATCGCAACGTACTCCAGTTTGCTTTCAGGGCGACTGGGCAGTGTGGGCAAACATATCACGATCTCCTCTATTCCAGGCCTTGATATCCAACAATTTAGTTTCCTTTCGTCTTCTCGTTTGTAATATGCCGGCAGCTCAGGTGATGACACTCTACCTCAGGTCGGAAGTTCGTTCGAATTAGCGCGTATGTCACCTATCGTGGGAACCGAAAAATAACGAACCAGTGTTTTCCGATTACAATCGTCCGCGGCTGAAAATAATCAGCATGCAAATGAGGTAGGGTAACAAGAAGCAAAATTTATAAAGAAAAATTGATCACTCTTTATTAAATTTATCTCACCCTACATACGCACGTGGTCTAATTAACTAAAGGTCAGTATAATTCAGCACAATTCTACGTAACAGCAAGGACACGAATTAATAGAGAACTAAAGTTCTTTCAGTCGGTCTTTGCTTAAACGAAAATGACGGAATGGTCAGCGTGACGTAACCGAAGAATTACTACCTGGTTTAATTAGGCTTAATATTCAACTACGTCCTAATAATCGAAAAATTAGTTAGCGCGACCTTTTCAACTACTAACTATCCTCTGATTAATTTAACACTCACTCTAAATTCGGATAAAGGCGAAAGATCAGCGCGAATGATCTAAACACTAATCTTCTTCGCGTCTAAATCTCGCGGTAAATTAGAATACTGGCGAAAGGTCAGCGCGAATGATCCAAACACTGATTTTCTTTACCTAATTCTAACACTCGTGGTAAATTAGAATACTGGCGAAAGGTCAGCGCGAATGATCTAAGCACTGATTTCCTTTGCCTAATTTTAACACTCACGTTAAATTCTACGAAATGTCGGAAAGGTCAGCACGAATCCCTTGAAACACTAAGTATCGGCGTCGACGGATTCACGCGTCGGCGACCCGTTATACCGAGAAATTCACGCCTGCACTCCTCGATTTCTAATAGTAAATGGCACTTTGCTTACTTATAATTTTCTGCTGAAGGTTCGACAAGCGAAATTACTGCGGGAAGAACTAGCACAATCATTCCTTCTGGCTAGAAGAGTAGCGGCAAAATGGACGAGAATCGGCTTTTCGCGGTCAAAGATTGCTCTTCTTCTCCTCTTTCCGAGAAGAAATACTATTATTAGTCGATATGCTAATTCGGATATCGGTAGCACCCTCCGAATATTTCATCATTAGTCCGTATGTAAATTAGAAAGATACAGCGCCCTCATTTATTCTCCTACTTTCGTCACTATTTACCCTCTCTCACCCCCCCCCCCCCCCCACTACGTTAGCTAGCATTGATTGATGGGAAAGATCTACTCCTGCTCTTATCTATTTTTTTATGCGGACGGAAATCAAATTTTATTCTAATCCGCTTATTGGTCGTGACGTCACCAGCGAATTTCCTCGGTTAATTTATCAATTTAATTTGTCGAAATGTTTGTCGCTCGTTATTACAATAAAGGGTGTGTCGGTCGCATACGAATTTTCATAATTCGGTACTTTTTCCATTTTCGTTTTTAATTTCAACTTTAATTAATTGCGAGTAATAAAATAATTTAAGTCATTTCATTCGTAGCGCCCTCATCTTCGCATTTACATTTAATTCTATTTATCATTTCGCTCGTTTCATATAGTCTATCTCGCTCGCTCTTATGTAGTCTATCTCGCTCGCTCTTGTTTAGTCTGTCTCGCTCGCGCACATTCAGTCTGTCTCACTCGCTCGCTCTCAGTCTGTTTCGCTCGCTTATATTCAGTTTGTCTCGGCGCTTCAAAATGGCCGCTTGCTCTCTCGCGCGTGCACCTCGTGTTCCCATACCGGTTTTTAGAGCGCCTCCTGGAGCGCTTCTGTTTCAGTCAGGTGATGTGTTTCCGAGTATTTGTTTTTCCGGGTGTCATTAGTAGTCATCATTGTGAATGTATGGCTCTCAGGATGTCACCGATGGTGTGCAGCAGCTCGAAACAGCTGGTTGCCGGCTGCCACTTCATCGGCGATTTTCTGCTCGCCTCAGGTGTGCCAGCGTTCCACGTGTGTCAGTGTTAGTGTCTGGGAGTGTAACAGATCTGCATGTGTCATCTACATGCATTTCTGTTGCATTTCCCAGTTAAGTTCCCCGTGCTTTTTCTCCAGTCGGCAACACGTGGTCGTGAGTAAGTGTGTGCGTGCGCTCTCTTATTTTGTAGTGCGCTCCATTTTTGAGTGTCCATCGGATCGCGTTCATCTGGCTTGCTTCGCCAATTTCTCTCCGGTGTTGTTGTTCGGACATAAAAAAAGTGAGTGTTTGTTTTAGGGCACGTCTGGGTTCGCGTTATACGACTGATTACGGGGCGGCAAGGGACGGCGATGGCTTTCCTGAGGTGTTGCAAATAATGCAACACTCTCAGGCTAAGCCTTGTAATGTACCGCATTACAACCGAATAGGCGCCAAAAAAACCAAAACAAGTAATAAATTATATTATACCCATTTCGTAGCGTTAAAAAAAGTAAAAGACACGTATTTTTTCTATGTTCTATTACAGAAAAAATGACGGAGATATAGCATGGAAAAGATTCCTGCGATTATACGGATTACATGATAATATGTAAATCGTGACGTCATAGGTAATTATTTGAAGCTATATCTCGATCAATTATTCTTTAATCGAAAAAAGAAAAAATTACGTGTCTTTATTTTTTTTAATACTAAAAAACGGATATAATAAAATTTTTTTGAAAAATCTTTATTTTTAAAGGGATTGACGTTGTTGTGCTAATTGTTTGGTATGCCGATCCACGTCATTTCTACGAATCGAAATTTTTTTTTTAGGCAATTTATTTTTTCTTACTGTTTTAAAAAATTATCAAAGGAAAATAATTATCAGTGTAGTAAGGTAGATAAATTAATAAAAATTTCAATTTGAAAAAAAAAATAAAAAAAATTCTACATGAGTCGGTACATGTACTCAAGATCGTAGAAATGACGTGGAGCAGCATACGCTACAATCATGCAAAGAAGATTGATAAATCTTTATTATTAAAAAAAAAATTGCCATAAGCGAGATTCCAACCTGCAAAGCAAAATTAGTAGCCTGTCACACTACCATCTTAGCCACGGTGCTTTCATGATCAGGTAATGTTGGAAGTATCTAATAAACTTATAGACCCAGGGGCTTGACCCGATAGTAATTAGCTATGCTTGCTTGACCCGATCGTAGTTACTGATAAAAAAATTGTTACAATCGTAGTTAGCGATAAAAAAACGCTGCTTGTAAAGAAAAAAAATGTGAGCGGGATTCGAACCCGCAAAACAAAATTAGGAGCTCGATACGCTACCGTCTCTGTTATCGTGCTTTCGTTGTTCACATAGGTTAAAAGTACTTGATGAACTTGTGAGCCCAGGGGTTTGATCTGATAGTATTTTGTTAAGCTTAAGTTTGACTCAATTAAAACAATCGTAGTTAGCTAAGCTTACGTTTAAATTTACGTAATATATATAAATGATAACTATAATAAAACGTTCAAAACATAGGGACTTTTTACACTAGTCACAACGTATAATTGCAGCATTTGATGCAATTATACAATTCAGTTTTGGATGCAATTATACGTCACAACGTATAATTGCATCCAAAACTGAAAGCAACCGAATTATCACATTTTTGTGGTTTTTTTTTTGAGATATCCACTTTTAAATTAAGAATATTTAAAAATATTTAAATAACTTGGTAACGAAATTTGGTTATGAATCAATGGCTGAAGTCTAATAATATAGTTTTCGAATGTAAATTCATATCGTAATTTATTAAAATAACGTTATTTGAAAAACGTCGAACAAAGTTTTTTCACACTCGAAATCTGTATACATCTAAGGTAGGATTTTTCTTGTAATTCCAGTTAGAATTTTTATAACATTAACGATGTTATGTTCTGGTTTAGTTTCTTCAATTACTTGTTCGCACACAAATTAACTAAATAATACCAAGGACCAAATTATACTAATATTATTAATACAAAGTGAGTACCACTTATTTTTATGTAATTAAAATAATAGACAACGCGAGGCCAAACTTACGCGTCTAAATATTTATCTCTCTCTCTCTCTCTCGCTCTCTCTCTCTCGCTCTCTCACTCTCTCTCTCAATTATTAAGTTAAATTAACGTCTTTAAATTTATCCATATAATTCGCCGTTATAATAAACATTAGATTAATTAGTTTACAATCGCGATATTGAGAGCCGGAATTCGAATAATAGAGATATCATTATCAACACGCGAATTATTTTATAAATTATTAATTTAAAATAAGAGTTAACCAGTTTGAAATTTTATACTTACAATTATCATTTTTCTTTAAATATTTAGTTTTTTTTAGCAATATTACACATGACGTTATGACGTTTGCACGTCATTTTTATCCGTCTTTCTATATAAAAAGTAATAAAGTACAATAAATTTTATTGTAAGTTCTATTTTATATTCATTGCAACCTACAAAAACAGTAGAATTAATTTTTATCTGCCTTGCGTACATTTCTGTCAATAAGCAGATAAATCATTGTACTGTCATCTCTTTGTAGAACTTTGCATCATCACTAGGCTTCAGTAAGATATTGATGATTTTTTTATAGGCAAAAAGAAGCCCGTGTGAAGATTTGTACCGTGCCGACTTTTATTGTTCACGTTATTATCTGTACCACGTTCTATCATAGTTTGACAACGTCCACACATAAAGAACAACGAAATGTAAAAACAAGTACTTCTTGATAGTTTTTAATTCAATTTCAGCTGCAGGAAATATGAAAGTAACTCAGTCTGTTGTCATCTTCGTGATCCAGCCATTTGTCTTTACTAATAACGCCATACAATAAATCATTAATGCACTTTTTGTTCTCATTGTCAGGTTTGTCAATGTAAAGTGCCAAATACAGAGCTGTTACTTTTTCACTTGTGATAAAGTCAATTTTAGTATTATAAACCAATGGTAATTCTATATTCTTCTAGGAGTAAAACCAGTATTGTTTATCGTACTGACAGATGACTGTTGACTAGTGTATCTTTTTCTAAGAATCTTTTTACAGCTTCTATATCATTAGTAGCACAAGCTATGAGAAACTGTGATGTAACCTCATAAGAACTATTCTGTATGTTTGGTTTTTAGTTACATGTACTTATATGTAAGAAAAAAATACACTGAAGAAGAAGTCGGCAGTACCTAATATGAAGAGAAAAAGAGCAATAGAATGAGTAAGAAAAATGATGAAATTGTATTGATTTGAGTTTATGATCTACTAGATTTTATACAGTACACTAATACGTAAAGCAAATTACTTAAGCCACCACCGTCAGCAAGTTCATCCAATTTGTCCAACGCAATAAATTTTATCAAGTTTTATGATTTCCATCATTTTAAAGTTTTACATCTGAAGGAAGAAAATTAAGCAGAGAACATAAGCATTATCTAGAAGCTGATATCTAGTTAGAAGATTATCATAGTTTTAAAAATAAATTAAATTACTTGAAAAAAATGTTTGATTCAATTTGTAAATTATTACGTCCTACCTCTGATCAAGTTATTGAAGATAACAGCCGTCGTTGCAGTCTTTTTCATTAAACACTTCTAAATATAAAGATCCTGTCATTGATATATGTTGTAACGGGGTAAAACCGTTTAATTATATTTTATTCGCGCAATTAAACCAAAGGGCGAAAGTAATTATCTATGCTCAAAATGCAGTCCGGAGAGCATGTGAAGACAGGCGTCAGTCTACCATTAAGTTATCTAATCTAGGAAAAAGTGAGTGGAAGCAATAAGAATTAAGCGAGTCGAAAAACACTTGATAGTAACACGAACAGAACCTTTTATTATCACTCAAATACTACATAAGGTCGGCCCGCGTGTTTGTTTACATCGACGCTCGCTCATCGACAACGCACAGTGTCGGGACGCTCGCTGCGCTTTGTTAACAGCGCTATTACATGCACGCTTCGGAAACGATAATTTATTTGTTAACCATGCAACCGCGATTGCGAGATTAAGCTGGCCAGCTTACCTTATTATTGCAGGCGTACGGAGAAAACGACAGAATCACACACTGCGCGGAATTGTTTTTGTCCGTTTATCGCAGGTCGCGAATCCGCGCACACACGGTTTCGCCCCCGATGGCGAAACCTTACACACTCTCCTTCAGCGGCTCGTACTCCTTCTCTCTGCGGGTGTGTGGCACGACGTCAACGGCAGTTACTATACTGGCACTTCTCTGGACCACTGGCACGTGCTTTTGTAGACGTTCGGTATCGGCGGCACGTAAATCGGCGTTAGCGAAACAAAGGCGAGCGAACGTAATGATGGCCAGTGCTTCACTAGTTCGGTTTCAATCGCGCGCGTTCCGTCTGCTCGCGTGCCGAATTCCTTCGTTACGTATTTCGTCCCCCCGGTAGGTGCTGCCCTCCCAGACAGCAATTAAGTTAGGTTATCAGCGCTAATTTGACGTTTACCGTCACAATGTATATATAAAAAAGTCAGAACTGAACAGCATAAATAGTAATGACATAATGAACTAAATACAGCGCTCAATACAGTATATGGCTTATAAATTAACCTTAACAGTTAAAATATATTGATATTTATTGTTTGAGGGAAAAAATACATTTTTTGTATGTGGAAACTTGAAGTTCAATCACGCCCTAATTATTGTCGGTTCTCCTTTATTTTCGCATGCGAAACCAAAAATAGTATAACTCGTCGAAATTAGTAGTGAAAAAGTGTCGAGTTGTGGATGGTATTCGTACGCGAAACCAATCCGAAAATTTGTTTCTCGTGCAAAAAAAATTTTCCGACACATTCATGTACGATAAGTAGGCGAGAAAATAACTAAAGCTAGTTACACTTCCGTGTGCGAAATTGATTTTACGCGCAAAAATGATCGCTCTCTAGACAAACTCTATAATTTTTCATTATTCTTTAGGTTGTTTTTTTGGGGTAAATGAATTAATGAATGATATAATATTAATAGGCGTCAATGATCACAAAATTATGGAGGTTTCCTATAAGCAATAGAGATTTTACTTGTTATAGATTTTGTTAATCTTGTTCAATAGTTAGTTTTTGACAATAATGAGGGTTATCTATCCTGAGCTATTATTTTAGACAGTATGAAAAAGATAACAGTATTTAATTAAATTTACAAACTATTGAATTATCACGAGTTTTCTTAAGATGTAAATTTACTTGTTTATTGACCTTCTCATATACTAATTTGCACACTAAACCATATTGTTCGTTTAAATTGAATTAAAACCTAAATTAAAATTAATATATATTGTATTTGCAACATTTGAACATTTCTAGGGAATAGTTATTAATACTGGTGCAAAAAGTGAGTTTGGTCAAGTTTTTGCTATGATGCAAGCTGAAGAAGCACCCAAAACACCATTGCAAAGAAGCATGGATATTCTTGGTACTGAACTTTCTTTCTATTCTTTTTGTATTATCGGTGTAATTATGTTGCTCGGCTGGCTTCAGGGTAAACCTATCCTTGAAATGTTAACCATTGGTGTGAGCCTTGCAGTAGCAGCCATACCAGAAGGTTTACCAATAGTTGTTACAGTTACACTTGCCTTAGGTGTAATGAGAATGGCTAAAAGAAAAGCAATTGTGAAAAAGTTACCTACAGTAGAAACCTTAGGTAGGTCTATGAACGTATTTAATTTTAAATAATAATAATAGTAGCGTAGTAGTAAATAAGAATATATAACAAAAAATAACTCTATCTGACAAAAATAGTCTCTTGAATTACTATGTAGAAAAAATAGCAAGTGATATGTCGAATAATTTTATTTACGATGGACTTACAATAACCTGTGCACGCATACGAAGATCAAAGTATATCATTATTATTATGAAAAGTGATCAATTTGAAGAGGACTTTAGTATTTTTAATCATGAATCTAGCCTTTCTAAATTTCATTTGGAACCAATCAAAAATGTAAGAAAAAACTTGACTACTAAAAAAATATTTAATAACTTTTATCAGAAAATAATTAAATTAATTTTTAGTTAGTTCTATTGGAATAGAATCATTAAAACAGATGTATATTTCATCATTTTATATTCAATCACCATAATAGTTCGGAAGGCATTTTCACCTCCCCTTTTCTAATATTTCATTATATACTCTGTAAACCATCTCTTGAAATATCAAAATGTATCGGACTGCCTAATTCTAAATCAGTCATTATTCACATATACTCAGTTCTTCAGTTCTTGGCGGCAATTCTCCTATAGATAATTAAAGGATCCCCCCCCATCCCTAAGTTACCCCAAGAAAAAACAATCACTCCGGAAATCAAACTTAAGTCTTTCGTTTAGAAGTTTTGTGTTCTATTTTTATTTTTGTAAAATTCGTTTATTAATCCGTTATTAATGTATATTTATAATTTTTGAGTTAATACCTGCAGAGGGCGCTTAAAATGTAAATAGGTCATATACATGCAAGAAGCTCCTAGGCTGTATTGAAAGACATACGGTCGGGAGGTAGTGAAGATGGTGGCTACTGAGTTGTATGCAGCCAAAACAAATGCAATGATCGACAAACAGACTTTGTAAAAAAACTACGCTGTGTACTTCGAAGATGTTTTGAAATAATTTGAAAATGCGATATATCAGCAAAAAAAGAAGATTTTTTGAACAATATCAATGGTATTTAAAAGGACATGACTCCTACGTTAAGATAACATTTATAGTTTTGAAGCATGAAATAAAATTTCGTGCTACATAACCTCAAATATAGGAAAAAATGCCGCTTTTGTACTTTTAGGTTACGATATCTCAAAAACCAGAGCCTATTGAGAGATTTGAACCTCGGATTTGGATTCAGCGCACCAAAACTCTGCGTAAATATATACTCTGGTTTCTAGATCAAAAGGTTAACCTAATTTTTTTTTCCTATGAAATTTACATGTGAATAATGTTGTTTCTAACATAAAATATATAGCATGAGAATATTGGAGATACCTTAACAAATATCATCTTTTCAAAAGCACTAAATAATCAAAAACAAATTTAATTTATCAAAATATTCTTAGTTAATTTTTCTACCAAACTTCTCACCTAAAAATTAATTCTATATGATAACACAGCTCCACAAAAAAAAATGAAAGTATTTTCCTCGATATCTGACTGTATGTTCTTTATGTTTTTGAGGTCGCTGAATCCGAATCCGGGGTCCGTTTGACTCCATCACGTCAGGGTTAAGGGCATTTGAAGGTCAAATTGCGAATCGACCCGTTAAAAAATTTAAAAAAAATTCATAATATATTTTTGGGATTCCTGATTCCAAATCCAATCTTTTTTGAACCTCAACATGTCAGAATCAAGGTCAAACGGAGGTCAAATCATTCAAATCGGATGATACAATATTTTTGACTCCAGATTCTGAAAGAGCGGAAAATTTTACGTCCGAATACGTAGTAACTTTTTTTTTAAACCGACTTCTGTAGGTCGTGTTGCGGTTATCCAAAATAAGACTTGGATATCTAGTTTTGGCCGGAACATTGAACGCAGATTAGAATTCTGGTTCTTTAGACAGTTGATCTTCATGTTTTTTGAGTCACTGATCACGAAGCTAGTCCTTTTTACTACATCGTAATGTCCGTTTAATTTAATGTCCGTTTGTGATAACGGACTTGCTTTTGTTCAAACGATCTACGTAATGGTTTTCTTTTAGGTGTTACTGGACCTGTTTCTATATCTCGTTTTAAATTCCAGCAGTAGTCTGCCATCATATTTATACCCCATGTTCCTTGATAGCGCTTTTCCATATCTTTCATGTCTTGATGACATCTCTCTCCATGCTCTTCACTGAAATCACCTAGTTTTTCTGGAAAGAAATCGATATGAGAGTCTACAAAATGCAATTTGATGCTCATATTACATCCTAAATTCTTATAGTTTTCAATCATAACACCTACTAGTTTTTTATAATTCGGACTTTTATTGTTCCCTAAAAAATACTTAGAAACTGCATGGAAGCTAGTCCATGCCGCTTTCTCTAAATTTGTCATTTGAGATGTAAAATTGGGATCATTGAAGAGCGTTCGGATCTGTGGACCATCAAAAATGCCTGCCTTTAGCTTGGCTTCACTGAGTTTGGGCATTTTTTTCACTATATATCTAAAGCAATCTCCATCTTTATCTAGAGCTCTGACAAATTGCTTCATGAAACCAAGTTTGAGATGCAGTGGAGGAATTAAAATTTTTAATGTATCTACAAGAGGTGGCTGAATGACGTTGGACGATCCAGGCTGCAGAGAATTTCTCGTTGGCCATTCCTTTTTGATGTAGTGATTTTGACGATCCCTGCTGTCAAAAAGGCACAAGAAGCAAGGGTATTTAATATTCCCGCTCTGCATCCCAAGAAGAATTCCAATGATTTTGAGGTCACCACAGATTCTCCATTGATGTTCTTTGTAATTGATTTTTTTTAAAACAATTTTCATATTTTGGTAAGATTCTTTGAGAAGTGTAGAGTGAGCTATGGGTATTGGAGCCAGTACATTCGTATTGTGGAGCAATATCACTTTCAAACTGCGAATAGAAGAATCTATAAACAGTCTCCACTCATTCGGCTTGTAGACATTATCTTTGAAACTATTTATAAGTCCGTTGATATCATTGCAATACACCAATCCCACTGTATCATCTTTAGTAAAGAAACGTCGAAACTCTTGGTCTCTGTTCCTATAAATTGAAATCTTTACACCTTCTTCCAAAAGATTCTTTTGTTTCAGCCTTGAAGCCAAAAGTTCATGAGCTTCCTTTGAAAGTCCTAACTCTCTTCCTAAGTTACTCAATTTATTCTCCGTAAATTTTGCAGGCTCCTTATTCCTTTCATCCTGGTTTTCGTCACTTTCACTTCCTTTGTCTGTCTCTATCTCGCTGTCACTTTCCTCTGTTTGTACTTCTTCGGTATCTATTTCTTCATTGGCCAGGACATCTACAACAGGATTCTTGGCATTACCACTATTTTTTGAAATCAAAACAGCTGGAATTACTATATCGGTAAAAATATATTTGATTTTTGATTTATTTTTCCTATTGTATCCGTGAGTAATGGTATTGCAGAAGAAACAGTCTTGTTTTGCTTGTGGCATATTCCATGTCACTGATACAGAGTATTCCAACTTTGAAAGGTCCTTTTTCATATAACATGTCAGCAACATTTTATGACAGCGCAGACAAACGACATGAGGAACCCAATTCTCATCTTGATTCAATATTTCTGATGAAAAACAATAACTGTATGCAGTACGCACAGCACGAGTGATATTTTTCCGGCTATATGGTGGTGCGTATGCAGCACAAACGTAACAAAAATAATTTGGTTTTTTCGGGTTGTCATGCTCATGTCTAGAGGTTCTGGCTATACTTGTAGCTTTATACTTTGGTAAGGCCAAGTTAGCCGCCTTAACAAAGCTACGGTCGCATGATGACGACGCCTGCGGGCCCGCTTTCTCACCCTGACCAGCCGCCGATACTGGGGTTCCGACCCCCTGCATCGTAAGTTTTTCCGGTGTGTTTGCCATGACGGCATGAGCATCATGACCCAGGAACTTTGCCGGATAGCGAGACAACTCCGTTGCCCGCCGTCACCACGGGGAGGTGTCCTGGATGCAAACACATGGAAAAAACCGCTGCCAACAGATTCCAAAAATAGATATCTAAGTCTTATTTTGGATAACCGCAACGCGACCTACAGAAGTCGGTTTAAAAAAAAAGTTACTACGTATTCGGACGTAAAATTTTCCGCTCTTTCAGAATCTGGAGTCAAAAATATTGTATCATCCGATTTGAATGATTTGACCTCCGTTTGACCTTGATTCTGACATGTTGAGGTTCAAAAAAGATTGAATTTGGAATCAGGAATCCCAAAAATATATTATGAATTTTTTTTAAATTTTTTAACGGGTCGATTCGCAATTTGACCTTCAAATGCCCTTAACCCTGACGTGATGGAGTCAAACGGACCCCGGATTCGGATTCAGCGACCTCAAAAACATAAAGAACATACAGTCAGATATCGGGGAAAATACTTTCATTTTTTTTGTGGAGCTGTGTAATTGTACAAATAAAAAACCGATCACAAGAACTTGTCTAAGAACTTGAAGGTGTTCTTATGTTTTTTCTCATGTAATTTCTTATACAAGTTCTGATCTAAGTATTTATTTACTAATTTTTAGGTAGATAATAAATAATCAGGATATTATTCACACTTTGAATATAGTCTTACTCATCTAGGATAGTGAATGATTTTGATTGTAACCAGCCTGATTTTTTACATATAATTTTTATATATTGAAAATGATGAGGCTTATTAGCTTTATCTTTTATTATCTTTTTCAATTGCCGTAATCGTAGAAAAATATTCACGTAATAACTTATTATGAATTATTAATTCGTATTATTTTTATCTCGTCGTATAACATTTTGTTATTGATAAAATATTTGAAGTCAGTTACTGTCAAACGGTATCTACACAGACCTGTGGGTAGGCATTTCCATCATCTTGGATGATTGATTGAACCACAAGGGGCAAGCATAAGTCAAAATAGGATTAATTAAAAAGCAGTAGAAAATATTTGTGATTCCTGAACTTGATTGTACATTATAAATGAGACTAACCTTCGC